TTGCTACATTCATGGGAAGTGCCTACGTGCACCTACTTCTTCTCCTGAAACCTGTATATTAAGAGAACAGAACAATCAATAAGAATCAAGTTAGTTCTCCCAATATTCCAAAATCTTGCAACCTCTTTCATGGTATCAGAGCAAGTTACGTTCAACTTGTGATCCAACTCTGATTTTTCCTTTTTCCTCTGCCTTCTCTCACTTGTTTCTTTTGGACTCTGTTTCCCTGCCGTCTCTGTTCCTCTTGCATCATGTCTGGGTCAACCATCTCAGATAACTCTTCCCCAGCCGAAGAATCCATTATCACGTTTAATCCGGCTGCTCAATTGCCCCTCAAGTTGACCTCTACAAACTTTAGCTCATGGCGGTCGCAACTGGAGACACTGCTCATGGGTCTCGACCTGATCAATTTCATCGACGGGACTGGGATTGCCCCTGCCCCCACCGTCACCGTTGACAGCATCGTCAGTCCCAATCTTCTGTATCGACGCTGGTTTCGTCAAGATAAGCTCATCTTGCACGCTCTTCGCTGTTCAATCTCAGAGTCGCTTTATTCGTTTGTGTCTGGTGCTACTACATCGAGGGAGGCCTGGTTAATCCTCGAAAAATTATATGCGGGGCGCTCTGGGTCGCGCATCATTAATCTCAAAGGCAAGTTGGCTCGTACAGTCAAAGGGAACAATGATGTTATGACTTACGTGAATGACTTAAAGCAAACAGCGGCGGAGCTTGCCCTTGTCGGCGCGGCGGTCTCCGATCTCGACCTGGTGGTGCACTGCCTTCGCGGGCTGGGTAATGATTACAGTCACTTCTCCGCGGCTGTGCGTGCTCGCGGAACCACCGTCTCGATTGAAGACCTTCTCGATTCTCTCATTGAGTACGAGGCGGACTTGCGGGAACAATCGCGCACTGTTGCTGTACCCACGGCGTTTTATTCTCAGGGTGGTTCCCGGCGGTCCTCTCCCAGCACTGGTGGCTCTCACCTTGGCGGCGGCGGCGGCACATCTTCTCCCCGCTCCAACTCACGCACCCAGCAGGGTTTCCTGCTTGAGTCCAGCCCCTCTCCACAAATGGGCCGGGCTCCTTCCATGGGCCAATCCTCTGCTGCTGGCCAAAATAACTCCCGCAGGTCCACTGTCATTTGCCAGTATTGTGAGCGGCCTGGGCACTCGGTTCGTCAGTGCTTCAGGCTGTTTCCCCAGGCTCGTCAGGCTTTCCAACAGGCCCGTCAGGGCCAGGTTAACTCTACTCATGTGGGCTCTTCATCCGCGGCTGGGCCTTGGTTGATGGACAGTGCTGCCTCTCATCATGTCACACCTGACTTGGGTCAGCTATCACTCTACTCCGACTATACTGGGCCGCATGAAATCGTGGTTGGGGATGGTTCAGGTTTGGCCATTACTCACATTGGGTCTTCTGCTGTCTCTCTTGGGTCTACTCCATTACATTTGCATGATGTTTTGTGTGTACCGAGCATCAAAAAGCATCTTATTTCTGTTGCTAAGCTTTGTCAGACTAATCCTGTCTCGGTGGAATTTTTTGCCACTCATTTTCTTGTGAAGGATCTTCGCACGGGGGCGCCACTGCTGAAGGGGGAAAACAACGGTGATGTCTATGAGTTGCCTCGGGAGGTGGATGCAGTTCGCATGGCTTTGGTCTCCACTCGCACCTCGGCCGGTTCTTGGCATGCACGTCTTGGCCATCCTTCACAGTCTTCACTAACGAGTCTCCTTCGTTCGTATTCTCTTCCTGTTTCGACATCACTCACTTGTTCTCCGTGTGATGCGTGTCTTTCAAATAAAAGTCATAAACTGCCTTTTTCGGTTTCTTCTTTGACTAGTGTTCGGCCATTTGATTTGTTATATACGGATGTTTGGGGGCCTGCTCCGGTTTCTTCTATTGATGGTTTCCATTATTACTTGATTATTGTTGATCATTTTACTCGTTACACTTGGTACTATCCTCTTCACAAAAAATCTGATGTGCTACAAGTGTTTCTTGACTTTAGGAAGATGGTTGAAAACTATTTTTCTACTACCATTCGTCGTCTTTATACTGATGGGGGTGGTGAATTCATTAAATTGCGGTCTGATCTTCTGTGTCATGGTATCAGTCACCTTCTCACCCCCCCTCATACCCCCGAACATAATGGCATGGCTGAACGTAAACATCGTCATTTGGTTGAAACTGGTATCACACTTCTTCATCATGCTAAACTTCCGACTTCGTTTTGGTCGTTTGCTTTTTCCACTGCTGTCTACCTCATTAATCGCCTTCCGTCTTCCGCTCTTCGTGGTAAAATTCCCTATACTCTTCTTTTCAATATTCCTCCTAATTATCACAAACTTCGTGTTTTTGGGTGCCTCTGTTACCTCTGGTTACGCCCGTACTCTTCTCACAAACTTGATCCTCGTTCTAGGCCTTGCATTTTTCTTGGGTATTGTCCTCAGCGGAGTGCTTACAAGTGTTTTGATCCTCACACTCATCGTATTTTTCTATCTCGACACGTTGTTTTCATTGAGTCTCAATTCCCAGGATTTTCCATCACTGCCGCTGAGGCTCCCTCTGCTGATACTTGGCTTTTGGACACATCTCCTACCATTACTACTCTCCCGGTCAGGCCTGCTGCTGAGACCCACCCGCCACCTCCCGGCCCAACTCCGCCAGGCCCATCGCCACCGCCAGCTTCCCCTTCGGCTCTGTCCTCCCCATGCGGATCCTCTCCTGGGCCCGTGCCACCCTCCGCCCCGCCTGGGCCCGTGCTTCCCTCAGCCCCGCCTGGGCCCATGTCTCTGCCCGCCCCGCCTGGGCCTGTCTTGCCTTCGGCCCCGCCTGGGCCCGCGCTCACTTCAGCCCCACCTGGGCCCGCCCCCCTTATGGCCCCTGCCACGCCTCCATCTGGGCCTCCAGCCCCCGCTGGGCCTCCTCCTCCTCCTGTCCGCACTCATGCCATGCGGACTCGAGCCCAGCTTGGCATCTTCCGCCCCAAGAAGAGGCTCTTTATATCTCAACTTGCTCCTGGCCCCCCGCCGCTTGAGCCCCGGTCTGTTCAGGAGGCCATGCGCTATCCGGAGTGGGATGCTGCTTTGCATGCCGAGCATTCTGCTCTCCTTGCCAACTCTACTTGGGATCTGGTCCCTCGCCTACCTCATTATCATGTTCTTGGCAATCGGTGGGTTTATCGTGTCAAGCATCTTCCTGACGGCTCTATCTCTCGCTTCAAGACCCGGCTGGTGGCCAAGGGTTATCATCAACGCCCTGGTCTTGACTTCACCGATACCTTCAGTCCCATTGTCAAACCTGTGACTGTTCGGACTGTCTTCACATTGGCGCTCTCTCAATCATGGCCTATTGCTCAGTTCGACGTCAACAATGCATTTTTGCAGGGTCCTCTTCAGGAAGAGGTTTACATGGTTCAACCGCCTGGCTTTGTTGACCCCTCTCGACTTCACCATGTTTGTCGTCTCCGCCAGGCTATCTATGGGCTTCGTCAGGCTCCTCGTGCTTGGTACACTGCTCTGAGTGCCTTTCTTCTTGAGTTTGGCTTCGTCCGGACTCACTCTGATGCCTCTTTGTTTGTCTACTCTCGTGGCACTGTTCTCCTCTACTTCCTGGTTTATGTTGATGATTTATTGCTCACCGGCAACGATCAGGCCACCCTTACTTCCTTTCAGCAGGCTCTCTCGGCTCGTTTCTCTCTTAAAGCACTTGGTGATGTCAACTACTTTCTTGGTATCGAGGTGATTCCCACTTCCACAGGCTATATTCTCTCTCAACATAAGTACATGGTCGACATTCTCCATCGTTTCCTCATGACTGATGCCAAGCCTGCTGATACTCCGCTTGCTGCCTCCACGTCTCTTACTCTTGCTGACGGCAGTCCGCCCACCGATGCTACTCGCTTCCGCCAGGTCCTTGGTGCCCTCCAGTATTTGGTCTACACACGGCCGGACATTGCCTATTCTGTTAACAAGCTGTCTCAATACATGCATGCTCCGACCGCCCATCATTGGCAATGTGTTAAGCGCATCCTGCGCTACATCTCTGGTACTCTCTCTTATGGTCTCTCTATCCGCCGATCTCCGGGTTCCTTGGCTCTCTCCGGGTTTGCGGATGCTGACTGGGCAGGCAATCTGGATGATCGCTCCTCCACCTCCGGTTATCTGGTATATCTCGGCACCACTCTTATCTCTTGGCGCTCCCAGAAGCAACGCACTGTTGCTCGCTCCAGTACCGAGGCTGAATATCGTGCTCTTGCCAATGCTGCTGCTGAGGTTGAATGGGTGCAGAACCTCCTCTCTGAGCTTCATCACCCGCTGTCCGTGGCTCCTACGCTTTACTCTGACAACCTCGGTGCCACGTATTTCAGCTCCAACCCCGTTTTCCATTCTCGCATGAAGCATCTTGCTCTTGACTACCATTTTGTTCGTCAACTGGTTCAGGCTGGTCGTCTTCATGTCTCTTACATTCCGACGACTCATCAATTGGCGGACGCCCTCACCAAACCCTTGTCGTCCACTCGCTTTCATCTACTTCGATCCAAGATTGGCGTCGTTGATACCTCCTCCATCTTGCGGGGGCGTATCAGAGATACATGATTTTCCATCTTTTATTCTTTTATTATTCTTTTATTATTTTTCCCACTCTCCATTTCTGTTGCTACATTCATGGGAAGTGCCTACGTGCACCTAATTCTTCTCCTGAAACCTGTATATTAAGAGAACAGAACAATCAATAAGAATCAAGTTAGTTCTCCCAATATTCCAAAATCTTGCAACCTCTTTCAGTATGATGCCACCCGAAGGAAGTACGCCAGAAAGAAAAATGCTTTTTTTTCGCCCGCGAATGCTTCCCCAATAAAGTGACGAAGTATCGTCAACAGCAACCCAAGTACCCAACATCACTTACAGTTTTTGTTACGAAAATGATTACAATTTTAAAACCGTAATTCGATAATGATATTATAACCGATCCCACCCGAACCGGTTGCCCATCTCTATCCCCGGCTTCCTGCTCATTAGCAGCTCAGCTAGTAAGAAGACAGAGAGGAGAGGGACAAATTGGGAATAATGATAATTTGAATCCCTTGAAACTCTCTTTGACAGCTCCGCTTCCGTCCCCTCCATTTCCCCATTCCCATTTCCTTCCCAATCCAATAGTACTACTACTCCTCCTCCCTCCTTCCCACCACCATCGCCATCACATTGCATTGCTCCCTTTCCCTACCATTTCCTTTCTCAATCCATTCATACCGACCAGACACCACCACCGAAAGGAAAAAGAAGAAGGAAGACGACAACAGCGACTGAAAGCCCAGCTCAAAAACCACCACAATCTTGGAAGCGGATTGAAGACGAGAGCACCAGCAAGAAACAGCACGCATTGTTTGGATTGGAAATTCAGCTCGGGTCTGTTGATTCCGAGCTTCGATTAGAAAGAAAATATTTTAAAACGCTGCAGAAGGGAAGCGTAATGTCGGGATACGTAGGAATTCTTGTTTCAGATCCATGGCTCCAGAACCAGTTCACTCAGGTGGAGCTCCGCAGCTTGAAGTCTCACGTAAGTTTCAAATATTGCTGTGAATTGGAAGCCTCTTTGTTTCTTCGCTTGTTTTTTTGTTTTTTTGTTTCAGTCTTCGTTCTACGCTTACTTTGCTCGACTTTGAAATGCTTGTGCTGGATAACTCGGACGACAGTTCATGGCCATGAGGAGGGAGAGCGGGAAGCTGACGCTCAACGACTTGGCCTCGCTGATGTCCAGATTGAAAGTCGTGGGAGAGAATTTGACGGAGGAAGAGCGAGCTTCTTGTATTCAGGATTTGTATAAGAATCTGGATGAGGAGGTCGATTTCGAGTTCTTTCTCAAGGTTAGATACTCTCTTCTTCCCTACTCATCCATCTCCCTTCTTCACTTACTACTCCAGAGCTCCAATGGATGTGGCTATGTTCGATGTGATTATGCCGATCACCGACATACCTTTTCCAGTTTTATTGTTTGTAGATAAGGCAAAAAATCTTTTCCCCAGTAAATCAGTGATGATGTTCGAATCAAATTTGAAAACCAGATCAGAAGCTTGAAATGGGTAATTCGTGATTGGTGGTTCCTGTTTTGTATTGTGTGATGCTTTGAAGAACTTTGCCAATCAATCACAAAAGTTGTTGGTAGGGTCAGTATGATGATGTCTATGGCTTCTTCTCCATGTGGAACTTCATCATAGCTTCCCCGCTCACACTGTAGTTTTCCAGTTGTTTTAATCTGGAAGTTTGTCACCAATGGCAATGATTGTAGGTGTATCTGAAGCTCCATGCACATGCAAGTGCCAGAACAGGAAGTGTTGCAAAGAACTCATCAGCATTCCTCAAAGCTGCCACCACCACATTACTTCACACCATCAGCGAGTCTGAAAAGGCGTCATATGTTGCCCATATCAATAACTACTTGGCTGAGGATAAGTTTTTGAAACAATACCTTCCCATTGATCCTGCAACCAATGATCTCTTTGAGATTGTCAAGGATGGCGTCCTTCTATGGTAACTATAATTTTACTGGTCTCTTGGTGTCCATTTCTTCCTGCTGGTTGCCCATTTTCTGGTTTGTAAAGTTTGCTCGTCTCGCTTGATGCAGTAAGCTTATCAATCTGGCCGTTCCTGGTACAATTGATGAAAGGGCCATTAATACTAAGAGAGTGCTCAATCCGTGGGAAAGAAATGAGAATCATACCCTCTGCCTCAACTCTGCTAAGGCTATTGGTTGTACCGTGGTCAATATAGGCACCCAAGATTTCATTGAAGGAAGGGTATGTCCACAGAATCGTTCATTTTTCATATGGTCCTTTTCTGGATCATTCATTACTTGGATCAATTTCACGAATTGCAAAGATTCACACTTTCTTTTTTGGTAGCCACAGCTAGGTTTGTTTAGTAATTGGAGAATTTATTTGATCAACTGCTAATAGTCATGTTAACAATCTCATCTTCTTTAATTTCAGCGCCATCTTGTGGTTGGATTGATTTCTCAAATTATCAAGGTGAAGTTCTATAGTAGCCACCACCGACTTCCCTGTTCATGTCTGTTTGTGTGTTTTGCTTAACAAAGTCTCAATCTTCAAACAATTCCAGATTCAACTCCTGGCGGACCTCAACCTTAAGAAAACACCTCAGTTGGTGGAGTTGGTTCAGGACAGTCAGGTACGAACACCACCTAACTTCTCTGGTGATTCATCTAAATCATGTTACCAGATGAGTTCTAATGAACATTTCTATACAAATAGGAAGCGGAAGAGTTGATGAGTCTACCTCCTGAGAAGATCTTATTGAGATGGATGAATTTTCAATTGAAGAAGTCGCCATTCAAGAAAACAGTCACAAATTTTTCTTCTGATGTGAAGGTACGAATATCATGGAGTGAAAAACAGATTGTTCCACATTTTAGAAATGACATTGAAGGTTATTATGGGGGTACAGGCACAGGCTAGCTATGAATTATAATTACGAGGGTCTGTTCAGTTCTTCTAGTGAAGGTTCTAACATCTAGATTACAGCATTTTCTACTGCTGAGGCCGCTTTTAAAGGCTACATAGTTTAGCATTTTTTTTTTGAAAAAAATAATAATACCGGTAACGAACTAGGAGATCCTATTGAATTCTAGTGGACCAACCTATTCAATTCATCCTTGGTTTTCAGCTTATACGAATGGATTATAAAAATGAACTCTGAAAGTAATTGATATAATTCATTGATTATAACTCCTAGAACTCATAACTGATCTAATTATGATGGACCATACTCATGTCATAAAGCCAAATTAAGATATAATAGAACTGAACTTGACCTCCGATACAATATATATTGCACCAGAAACTCGCACCTAACACGAGTTACTGAATCAACCTTTTGGATATTTCATACTGGTCTGCACCCGTTTGTGACCAGAAATATTCTGTTAATGTTCTGATTCCTGCTCTTTTGGACGTTGTGTTCATATCTTGGATGGTAGCTGTATCATGTTTTTATCACCAATTGTTTTGTCTACTTAATGTATCGCCATGCTACTCGGATCTCTGGTAAACTTCAGTTGCAAATATTTTCTAGAGACCCTATCTTGTTTTTCACTATAGATGTTTCTGTTTACAGGATGCAGAGGCTTATGCTCACCTTCTAAATGTACTTGCCCCTGAGTGTAGCAATCCCTCTACACTAACCGTGAAAGAAGCTTTGGCTAGAGCGAAGTTGGTTCTTGAACATGCTGATAGAATGGGCTGCAAGAGATACTTGACGGCCAAAGATATTGTTGAAGGTTCCCCAAATCTTAACCTGGCCTTCGTTGCCCATGTTTTTCAGCATAGGTAAGAAAATGGCTATTGCAATAAATTGTGAATTCATGTGGTTCAGGCATCTTTTGCAAGTCTTTTGTGTGTCTGCTTCGACCGCTGAAAAGAGTTGCGTGAAATCTTCTTGCTGTCTCTTGACTGCAGGAACGGGCTATCGACCAAAACAACACAGATAAGCTTTCTTGAAACGTTGCCTGATGACACCCAAATCTCCCGAGAAGAACGGGCATTCCGATTGTGGATGAACAGTCTTGGGAATTCGAGTTATATTGACAACGTTTTTGAAGACCTTAGAAATGGGTGAGAGCACTAACCTAGTGACTCTAAAAAGAAATATTTTTTTCGTTGACTGGCCTTTTGGTATTCAACAATAGTTAGCTTGCTGCTGCTAGCTTTGTAATCTGGGATGAACTTATATTGCAGGTGGCTTCTTCTGGAGACCCTTGATAAGGTGTCACCCGGAATCGTAAATTGGAAGATTGCAAATAGACCACCAATCAAGTTGCCCTTCAGAAAAGTGGAGAACTGCAACCAGGTTGTGAAAATAGGGAAACAACTAAAATTTTCCCTTGTTAACATAGCCGGAAACGACATCGTACAAGGAAACAAGAAGTTGATACTGGGTAACTAATCTCTTGGACTCCTATTTCTTGATTACTAAATCTGTGGACGAATCCGAATAGAGTATCTGACGTAAGCATCCTGTTCTGTTCCATAGCCTACTTGTGGCAGTTGATGAGGTACAACATCCTCCAGCTTCTCAAGAACTTGAGATTCCATTCTCATGGTAAAGAAATCAATGACGCCGACATCTTACAATGGGCGAATGGCCGAGTCAGCAGCTCGGGAGGTCAAGCTCGTATGAATAGCTTTAAGGTGCGTGACCAACCATGTCATTAGAAGTCAGGGAAACGAACAACTAACTCAAAGGCATCATGTTATTGGTAATGAACTTCATCTTACTTCAACGTTTTTACAGGACAAAAGCTTGTCAGATGGCATTTTCTTCCTTGAGCTGCTTAGCGCCGTTCAGCCTAGAGCAGTAAATTGGAGTCTCGTAACTAAAGGCATAACAGGTACTTACATCAGATGAAATGAGCAGCTTCCCTCATGCCATGAATCAGTTCTATATAATGTCACTGTGTACACTAACCTGGACGCCATTCCAATGCCAGATGAAGAGAAGAAGATGAACGCCACATACATCATCAGCATAGCAAGAAAGCTAGGATGTTCAATATTCCTACTTCCCGAGGACTTGACAGAGGTAACGTCTCCTTGTTCGACAATACATCTACAATCGAACCCTTCTTTACTAGTCACAATAATAGCTGAGAGTGGATTCTGTGCTTAATGTTGGGTCAGGTGAATCAAAAGATGATCCTAACGTTGACGGCAAGCATCATGTATTGGCACTTAAAGCAACCTTCAGAGGAGAAACCAGCAGCGGGAACTTCAGACAGCGAAACCATCTCGAACTCGACATTGGATGACTCTGCATCTGAGTCCTCCCTGGAAGACACTGCCAATCTATAAACAGATCCAACCAACCGAGAATTACCGAAACAACAAAGAAGCTAGTGTATCTGTAACAAAAACATGTTTGTCCTGAGTTTTGTTTCCTTTGGGTTCATCTTTTGATTTCCTTAAATTCGTTTGGGAAAAAGAAAATCTATTTATGGTGAGTGGAATGTTGTGGCGTTACCCCAATTTTTGCCAAAGCAAAACTTCATTATATGTCGAGTATAGTTATTTATTGTTCATTCCTTGTCCATGTATATATGTAAGGGTTTCTGTTTATGAAATCAGAATGGTCTTCTAGATTTTGTCTTATTTTACTGGCTGTGGCAAAACTGGACTTGAGAATATTTGTATACTAGATTTGGGGAGTGGATCCATACATAACCCATTTATGTTATGGAAATTATTTAATTTTTTTCCCCCTTAATCTTTAACGGAGCCGTTTATATCATGAAAAGTTTTTCATCTTTTCCACTTTAATTTTTAACAGACATCATGAAAAGTTTTTCATCTTTTCCACTTTAATTTTTAACAGACGTTCGTTTGAAGTTGGAATTTAATTTTTTTCACAATTTTTTTCACAGATAAATCAGATTAATTGTGTTTTTCAAAATGATATCCACCTTGATATATTTTTGGAATATAAAAACTGAGACATTTTTTACCGGTCTATACCAATGGTGATATTGATTGGTATTAAAATAAGAGCATATCATATGGTATAAAAAGCGTACCATGTTCCAAGACAATAGGATTGTTGAATACATGATATTAGGTGTATACTAACTGTTATTTACGACTTTCAACATTGTGTACCACAAGATACCACCCCCATACCAGGATGGTACTATTGTGTGGTAATTTTTTCACCTAGAAATTAGTAGATCCAATAGATCATGATGAACTCGTTCCTTCTATGCAAAAATTTTCAAAAACGACTTCAAAACAAAGTAGATATCATATGGTATGGAGTTGATAACGAGAGATATGAAATTTTTTTCTCAAAAATATTGTAAATGGATATCATTTTGTAGAGCACAACGAACTCGTTCCATCTGTATAAAAAATTGAAATCCGAGTTGGAACAAAAAAGATAAGAGTCGATTAAGAAAACTAGAGAGAATAAAATGTCTTTAATTTTTTTTTTTATGAATAAAATGCTTTAAATTCCCCATTCTTAGATCTGAATTTTCTGGATCCACTAAAAAAGTAATGTCCAGATTTCGTTATGCACCCTAACTTGAGCATAGATTTGTGTTGGGCCCATATGTCGGATGTATTTTATTTGATTATTATATTAAATAGCTTATACCTGACACGTTGGTCAGATGACTCTTTCGAATTATTTTGAGACAAATGATTTGAGTTTGGTTGTCTTATACCTGATCCGTTGGTCGGACGACCCTTTCAAATCATTCCGAGATAAATTGTTTGAGTTTGGTTGCCAGAAATTTCATTATTTCTGGTGGGGAGCATAGAGGAAATCTAATGAATAGAAGGGGAAGTGCGAAAACAATAATATGTGTTCTTGAAATGTGGATAGTGTGAAGATTAAAAACACTATGCATTGCAATCATTCAAACCTCCAAGTTTTCTTTTGGCAAACTTTGTAATTGGTGCGACGAAAAGCATCTTCAATATTCACTAATTCACCATCAGTAGTGTCATCAGTTACTTGTGGTGAAGTTAGAGGGGAAAATCTATGTTGTCATGAATTGAGGAGAAGAATGAAAATATGTTAGCAAGCGTGAAAACATTACCGGTGTGTGTGATTCTAAAGTTTGAGTGAAAATGTATATTGAATTCACCATATTATCTATACCGTTGTCATTGTTGTTGTCTATGTCTTCTCTTTTTCTTCAATGACAGTTGTCAGTATCATCGTACCTAATTCACGTGTATTGTCTAAAGCACCCTGAAATCACATCATAATCAAATAGGAATGAAATAAGGATGCAATGGATGCTATTCAAACGATTATGCACATGAATTGACATGAAATAAACCTAATATGAAGGGTAAATAACACCAAGTTAGGTGTTATCAGTGGACAATGAAGTAGAAACCCCATTCGTCTCCACCTTGCATCTTTTATCCCACACTTTGATGTGTGACTATTAGGTATGTGGTAGAGGTAACAATACAAGGAGTGACTCATGTATTCCCCCATTTGGGTTAGATAAGATGCTACGGTCTCATGGTTCTCCAGAAATGTTGCAAATGGATCTTCATCAAGGAGTCCAAAAAGGTTGGGTTTGACTCCATGATGCATCTCCACCAGGATTTTTAAGTTTTCTTCATGGTCTTCAACTTTAGGAATGTCATCCTCCACATTTTCACTAAGAGTGCCCTTATAAATGGTGAACTCTTTCTGTTTGACCCTTACTTCCTCTTGATCAAATTTCATGTTTTCCAAGTGTTGTGTAGATTCTTGAGAAGAGGATGTAAATGGATCTTAAAGGGTTCCATCCACTTCAAGACTTGGTTCTTCTATGCATAGAGCATCATTTCTTAGAGTAGGTGGAATTGCTACTCCCTGTTCATCTTCCATTTTTGTAGAGGATGATGTAGAGGTTTCTTCTTCTCCAAGATCGAAGCTGCATTCTTCATCAATTACTTCCTCCCAACTCGAGTTGAACTCAATATGAGTGTGGCTTGAAGTTTCCTCCACTGAGCCAGATGTTTCTTCTTCAATGATGGACTCCTCTGCGATCTCTTGGATGGTAGGAGGTATATTGCTCCTTTCCTAAGTTGGACACCAGGTTGGCCTGATCATCAACATTTCTTATAGTTGACTCCTCTTATAACTCCTCCTTTGAATGTATAGATTGAGATGCTTGCTCCACTAGTGGCTCCTCACCTTCATGCTCCATTTGAGGTTGGTCATCCTTGTTTGACTTCTCCCCCATGATCTCTTGTTCAATGTCCGGTTCTAAGGGTTTTGCTGAACTTCGACTAAGAGGTGCAGGGGGGTCATCATACTCTTCCCCTTAGATGTTTCCAATAGTGGATGCCTGGATAGGTGGATTACTCCTACATGCCTTGATAGGTGGATTACTAGTAGACCACTTGGATGTCGTAGGGGACATCGAGATTCAATTGTTGGAGCTAGAATTCGAAGAGAGGACAAGCTTAAAGAACGAAGCTCAAAACTGCGACGCATGATGTGAAATGGCGTTTCAGCCTCCATTTTACATAGCTCAACTACTTTTCCATAAAGTCACCTTGAAGCCTTCTGATTAATTGATCACGTGTGTAGAGCCTTCTGATTGGCTGGATAACGCTGGAGCTATGATATTTTTTCTTTAGAAAGTCTAATCAAAGGCCTATAAATAGGTCCCTAGAGATAGAACTCGAGGGGGGAGGAGACGAGAGGTCAAGGAAAGGTTGTTACTCTGTCGACAGAGCAACCCTCCCGACTTAGAACGACACCAACCTCTGAGGGAAAATCGGAGCAAAAAATGGCAGCCTTAGCCCTGTTTCTCTACTGGTGGCGTAGTTTCCTGTGTGCTTCTAGGGTCTTCGTTTCAATCAATAAACACCTAGGAACCCCTCCCCATCGTTGGCTAGATTCTTAATTTCGTAGATAAGTGAACCCTAGGGTTCTAACCATGTAAAATTCGATGTTTGGTTTAATAGAATTTGTCGATTCGAATGAGATCTTAGTCGACCTTGCACTCCTCGAGGTGCAAGGATCGAAATACAGGTCGCTTAGGATTATAACTAGAAATGGCGGTTCTATTCGATCGAACATCATTCGATCAAACGGCGTGACTCCTCAAGGGAGAAATCCGAAGGGTCCTTCTCGCCCATTATTTCTGGTAAATGCTTCGACACAAGGTGGGATCTAATGAAATAAGAAATCGATAGCTCGTATGCCACCGATCACTGAGGGTCGCATGGTTGGGAGACCTAGGGAGAGCTTGCCTATGCAATGCATTCCGTCTCTGATCTCTCGCTAGTCCAGTAGCTTAGCTATACTTTTTTGCACTGCGTTCTCCGTTTAATCTTACGAGGAAGAAGAACGTAAACTGATGGCTAGATCCATATCTCATTGTTAGATTGCCCAATTCTCTTTAATCGTGGATGGATTTGATGTTATAAATGGATGAAATTTCTTCCCAAAACCCTTTGAGCTCAAGTTCTTCGTCAACATCTCTCCCATTCTCTCTATACTCTATAGGATGGCTTCCCTTTGGAAAAATCTAGATCTACCTCTTTATACTTGTGCCCAGAATGATTCTTACGATATGCTCTTCATTAGGAGGATTTCTCTCACTATTCGTCCTCCACCACGCCTTATTGCAACCACTTGTCCGTTACAGTTAGCAGTCAGTCACTAAATATAACATTCGCAAATCACAACCAAACCACTAAGCATAAAATTCAGTGTCACTAACCACTAGTCATGCTGTCTTGGTAAAAAAGGAAATTGAACATTAGCTCCAAACATATAAACTGCCACCTGGTACTTAGAAGTTAGAACTAACGAAGAGACAATTATACTATACACTCTGGTAAGTGCACGTATATACAATGGGCAAAGGGGGAAGGAAAACAGCCTTTTCTTTTTCTAACTATACAACACCGCTCTGCTTGTTTCCCGTTTCCACCATGCTCCGCTGATCTCCTATATGCTAATTTTCCTATACTTACTATTCCTTCTCCAAGTTGAGGCGTTAATACAAACTAATAATAAACCCCATTCACTGCTGCAGAGGGTATTCCTATTGATGCTAAAGCCCCTACCTTAATGGGGCTAAGCCTCTACGATGGAGCTGAATTGCGGAATGAAGGAGGACAGTAGGTCTCTTATCCGGCAACCACTTCCCCAGAAAGATGCGAGACACAGACCCATGATTGCCATGGCAACTACCGAGCATGCCGGTGGAACAGCTTGGCTGCTTCCAAGGAACTGGCTTGCCAGAAGACCTGCTAGTGTTGAGCTTTGCATCCCTGTGCACAGTGATATTGTCCTGCTTACTTCTTCACTTTGCCTGCACCACGGCACCAACGGTGTGGCCTCAGATATAAACACACAGACATATGTTGTGGCAAGTTTGCCATGGAAGGCGACTCGACCCTAGCAGTCTGTTTTGATAAGCTAAAAACTTAGCTAAATGAATTTCATACTCAATAAGTGCACTTTCTGCATCATATGGCAAGTTTAGCAAGCACAAAGGCGAACCCACTACTGTGACTATCTCAAGTGGTCAATCATGGTGATAATCATAATCATGAGTTTAGCATGAATTAGAAGAGCATAAGGATTACCCGAAAGCTGGAATCCTGGAGACCCAATAGCCCACTGTGAATGCCACTGCATGAAATGTCAGTACTGGAAGAACAAGCCCGAGACCCTCTGGAGACAGAATTTGGGTTCTATTGATTGCTAGAGGGCTACCAATACATAACGAAGTACACACCATAGCCACAAATGGCATCACAGGTTGGATCAGATTTACAACTGGCTTTGCATATGAATTGAGCACAAGACCAAGAGAGACCGGAACAAGAACAACCTGCCACCAAAAGAAGCGAAAAAGTTCAGACACTTGCTAACTCAAAATAAAAAGTATCTTACTTTTCCAATTGCCTAAAGCTGGGGCTCCTCTTCTAACCTGCAAGATTGACTTCGACATTGCAACAGCATCAACTGGAACAACAGAGCCAATCAGAAGGCCAGTTAAAAGAGGTGTGACAAGTACTGATGCAATGGTGCTTGAGCTAGTTAGGAGAATGCTCAGTGCCACATCGCCTTTGCTCAAAAAACTAGCATAGCTAGATAACTGTGCCCCCGCAACACATGAGGTGAGAACAAATCCAGCATAGAACATCTGGGACATGCCTAATGCCTTTGCAATGAATACCCCAAGGACCGGTTTGAGCACATACTGCGCGATAAACCCAACAGACAGTGGTAAAGGTCTGCAACAGATGGAAGATGTAAAAAAAGAGAAACTTGGGAGTATATACATTGAACTGTGTGATCTCAATATGGAAAAGGAAAACTTCAAAGCAGGGTAAGAAATGTTACATAAGCACTTTCGGAACAAGATGTACCTTTTCATGGCAAGAGCAAAATCATCAATGGAGAGTCTAATTCCTATTGACAGCATGATTCCACCAAGAGCTGGAGCATACATCTCCTTTGATACCCTGCACGACCACATGTTTCAAAACAATGACAATTCGAAAGAAAAAGAGAAAATAAGAACACTCTTGAAGGTGAGGGAAAAACCCACCTCCCATTACATAGTCTTATGAGCTCCAAATAAAAAACTCGTAACGCTGTAATACACTTAAAAGAACACACTCCTTGATTCCAACTCCTTCGAATCCAATACCACATTACCCCTTCTCCAATCTAACAAGCATTCTGGTAGAAAAGCCCCTAGGAAGGACTAGTTTTGGACTCCTCTTACAGCTAAAGGGGGGAAGTGTGAGCCCAAAAACAGATAGTTAGAGTAAAACCAGTTTCTCATTCACAAAGAAGATCCAAGAAACATAAACAACCAGTACAGAATTGGAAAGTTGCGACCACAACAACGTTTCTCGAACTTAGCAGGACAAACCATGGTGATCAGAAGAACAAAGGAAACTATTAATATAATTAAATTATTATTCCCTACACGGCCAGAGCGCAAAGGAATAAAGAATTACCCCAAAATCATTCACAAAGCAATCTTCCAAAGATAGAGATGCTATAAAATATTGAAAACTCAGAAGCTATATCGTTCCTTGTTAACCAAAAAACCTTCTCATCGCAAAGTAACCCCTCAAGAAACAATTTATCAAATACGTGGTGGGCAGGGCAAGCACGAACCGAGAGTCCGTCCAGCCCAGTGGGAGCGCTCCATCAGGAAAACAACAAGAAAGACAGGAATCGAAAAGACGAGAGCACTTCGTACGGCTCACCAAGTGAAAGTGGACGGCTGAGCGAGAGCCGCGACGGCAGTGGCGGCAACGACAAACGGGAGCATTGCCGACAAAACCTGAGAGGCGTCAGTCTTGGCCGCCTCCGCATTCGGGTAATTGGCCCCGAAGTACAAGAGAGAAGAGTTCCCTTCCCTTTGCTGGGAGCCAACTCTGCCGAAGAAGGGCGAGGCAGAGGTGGAGCAAGATAGGGTGAACAGCGCCCCGTCGTTCCTGTAGCCGTTCTTCTTGCGGAGTTTCGAACCCGAAGAGCAGAGAAATGAAGCGGACGTTGGCACGAAAACGGAGTTCGGTGGTCTCACCTGCGAAGGCGGGAGCGGGAGCGAGAGCGAAAATTTTGGTGGTGGGATGGGGAGTGTGGGAGATAAGTAGTAGATTGAGGAAGCCATTTCTGAAATTGCTTGTGAGGAAACAGAGAAAAGGAGGAAGGTTCAGTAGAGAATTGAGAGGCTCCGGCGGCCGGAAGGTCAAGAGGAAGAGAAACCGCCGGAGAGAGGTGGATTTCCGGCTGAGCGGATGGATGTGAAGGCAGGTGATGGAGGTCGGGAGAGGAGATAGCTGGATAGATAGAGTGGATACTTCGCTAAAGTAATGGAGGAAGGAACGGATTTTTCAACGGAGAGTGCGGGGCTGGGTTCGGGTGCTTCTTTACTTACGGAGTAGCGGATGACGTGGACGGTCAGGACTCCAGAGGATGCAATACTTTTTGTTGTTTTTTAATCTGAATCGCTATTCGTCGCCCTAAAATTCAAATTTTATCGCCCTAAAATGTACCAAATTGACACTCTTACCCTCCGATCCCTGCTAATCCTCTGTCTGTGGCCGCTGCTAGGGCTGGGAAACGGTGCGGTCTGGTCCAGACCAGACCATATATACGGTCTACGGTCCAGACCGAGAGGTTAAAGTATAGACCACAAACCAGACCACAGACTATACGGTCTGGTCCAGACCACGCCTGTGCGGTCTGGTTCGGTCTGGTCTGGTCCAGATAAACCACACTCAACGAAAATTGAATAATTTGTTTAGTCAACCACACAAAAAATTGAACCAATAACCAAGAAAAATATTTGTTATTTGCCTTAAAACATTAATCCTAACATGCATGAATAATTTTGATACTCTAAATCTTAGTACATAACAAAGATACAAAGTAAAAGCATCTCAGCTTGCACCATAATGTTATAAACATTAACATAATGTCATATGGAGACACGATTATCTCTACTCTGTGGTTAAATGTGGTTGTGAATGAAGGAGGGAAGAGATTCACAAAATTAAGGTTGAGACTTGGGTGTCGTTGTGGGAGTTTGGAGAGGGGTCGAATGGGCTGTTAACACGTATTGACAAGTCAGTTGGGTCTACGGTTTGGTCCGGTAAACCGCGGTCTAGACCAGACCAGACCAAGAAATCAAATCATAAAATAATACAGACCATGGACCAGACCAGACCATACTTCACGGTCTACGGTCCGGACCAAACTGTGCGGTACGGTTTGGACCACGATTTTTCTAACGGTCTGGTCTATTTTCCCGGTCCTAGCCGCTGCTGTCACTGTCAATTTTTTCTATCAGAGCCGCCCACCTCAACTCGATCTCCACCGGTGCTTTGCTTCTACTGTCGAAGTGATCCCAAGCAGGAGGAGGAAGAAGAGTATATATGACTAAATTCCACATATGAAAAAAATAAAAGTAAACATGACACTTTTGGTGCAGTTCCCTTGCACGAGCTTTGATGGTGAATTGGTGATGATTCTTCTTCTCTAGTTTAGTTTTTTTTTTTTTTTGCTTGGTGCAGTTGTCATGGAAACTGAACTCCGACAACTGTTGGAATAATTATGGGTCAAAAGTAATTAAGAACAGTTGGGAAATCTTTTCAACGGCCCACTGGCCACTTCAACCTGCCCACCGCCGCTTCCCTATTGCTGCTGTCGGATTCTTCTGTTCCGAACAAAAGGAAGGAGACGAATGAGGAAGAAGGTTTTAGGGTTTTTTTTTTCTTTACCAGATGCCGGACGTGTTGAAACTCTGACTCCGGCGAGCATGGGATGGATTCCTGACCTGTGCCAAGGATAAGAAAGAGAGAAAAGACACGGTGGAAGGCAAGGATGAGGTAGGAGAAGGTAAAGGATATTTGAGTCATTTTAATAAAAGTTAGGGCGACGAATAAGGTATTTTAGGGCGACGAATAGCAATGCCCTTTTTAATTAGGTAAATTACAAGGTTGGTAATTGGAAGTGATAAAAATCTCGTGTTTGGTCATTAAAAGTATTTTATTTCATTCGTGGTTATTGGAAGTGGTTAAACGTTTCGTATTATGTCACTTTCCGTTAATCTCCGTCAAGTGTTTTGCTGACATGACTAACAGAAGTGATGAGTCACCTAATTTTAATCCAAAGAAGAAAAAAAATCTGACCCACGTCGAAAAACCCGCCATATCATAAAAAAATCCCAACCCATGACCCAACTCAATTTGAACCCTTACAAATTAAAACCCGCGACCTGCCTCATCTATCTTCCCTACACCTCCAGACCCAACCCTATTTGTTGTTGCTTTTCTCCTGCCTTCTTCAACCTCGCATCGTCGACGACCCTTTCCCCCTGATCATCCCCAGAAAATACAATTTCAAAAAGAGAATCAATTTCCGTTCCATCCATCCCAATCCTAACTCCGAACTTCCCTCACATCTTTAAAACCCTAAAAAAATACAATTCTGAAACCTAGAATCGGCCCTATAAAACCCAGAAAACACAACCTTGTTGAAGGAGAGCGGATTCCCGCACAACCTTGTTGTGAATAACCATGCATAACCTGTCACATCACCATTTATTGAAGGTCTCTAACATTTTTCCTATAAATTTTATGAGCTAATTCTCTTTCGTTTTAAGTCATACTTTTTTTTGCATAGATAAATAAGATTAAGTGTACTCTTCAAAATGATATCCACTTTGATTTATTTTGAAAAGAAAAAATTGTGACATTTAGTACCAGTCTATACCATGCTGATAATGTTTGGTATTACATAAGATCATACCACATGGTATGAAAGTGTAGCATGGTGGTATGAACATATCAGAGTTGAATGGTTGAATATATGATAGTAGAAACGTTCGAAAATTGCACCGCAAATGGCGGTCATTCTGGCCGCTGACTTCCCCTCTTTTGGAAGTGGTCCTTGTTTTTAGCCCTTCCCCTATTTTTACAACTAGACTTATTTTACTCTCCAATTTTACGTTTAGCCTTTTACTCCCCATATGCCCCCTTGGTTGTAGTGGAATTGTTGGGGCTAAAAGGGTGAATGCTCTTTTACACCATGGGTTGTGGACAACCTTAGACCATCTTTAGTGGTGAGTTCAAAAGGTCCAAATTTTAGGGCTAGAATTCGAATTATTACCCCTCCAAAAGTATTTTGCCTTCAATGGTGAGTTCCGAAAGTTCAAAGCTCCGGAATTTCACGTCAACTAATAATCCAGTTTAGTGTTAGTTTCATCATTCTAATTAAAAAATTTGTTCGTTATTTTTATATAGGTACTAATAATTAATTAAGAACATTTCAATGATTTTTTTTGAATTCAGACAAAAAAATATATGTAAATATGGCGCAATCAATGATGAACACACTATTATTGCTTGAGATAGCCATAGATCAAGTACCATAAAAATACATACGATAGACTTAGTGCGTGATCGATTCATTCCGTGTAAGTCATTTTCAATAGTTTGCATGTATTAATAACTACCCCATCCTAGGCCAAGTTTGACCTCAAATGGCGTTGTCATATAGTGGCAATCAAGGTCGTATTCACTCGGGTCCCAGTACCCTAGTCTACTTCCCACATTGTTGTTATCTATTCGATCGGTTTAAGGGGGTTGTGTTGGAGGATTCAAGTGAAATAACTAGTAGAGAGAGTAAACAAGGATAAAAGAAGGTACATCGAGGAACTAACCCTCGCCCTAGCCTAGGTTTATCATGCAAATGACTAGACAAGTTGGGTTAAGCTAATATGGTGAGTGAGCTCTTCTCTGTGGGCCTTTGTGATTATCCACTCCATTGTCACCTCGGTATAGGCTCACGTATCTGGGGCTTTAAGAACTTATATCATTTCAATGGTTACTAGCCACCATCCACACCGAGGTTTCATCCCGGGTTCCATCTACGAAAGCGTTCTTGTGACAGAGGTACGGTCGCCTCGTCCACCACAAGACCATATTCAATCATCTAACCCTAATTTGCGAGATGGCGTATACCCGTCTAACTCTACATACCCAATGTAGAAGCTTCTGTAGGCTAGTAGAGAAGATTAGGGCGACTTACCCAAAAAACAATTAAAGTAGATGAATCATTAATATCAACTAGACAAACACATTCATTCAAAATCCTAACATATTCATTCATTACATAATAGCCCTAAAACTAGGATTTGGGGTTTAGAACCCCTAGTACCTTAAGAGACTACTCCATAAAGGAGGGAACAAGATACATTGAAGAATTTGAGGAAGACTTGATGTTAAGGAAGATGGCTTCTCTCTTCTGACTTCACCTCCTTTTGCTCTTCTCCTACCTTCAAATTCTCTCTCTCTCTTCTCTCTTCTCTCTCTCTCTCTCTCTCTCTCTTCTCTCTCTCTCTCTCTAAACAAGAAATTGATATCTCAAAATCAGCTCTCTTAAAATGGTCTATTTATAGACTTCAGGAGGACGAACACGTTCGCGGCTGAGCAGGGGGAGATCGCGCTCATGATTTTTCCCCCCGAGACCGCGATCTTCAGGGGTCGCCGTTTTGGTCTTCGTTTGCTGGGAGTTCACGAGCTGACTAATGGTCTCGAACTTCCTCGCGGTCAAGTGAGGTGGTGACCGTGACCAGACTGACGAAACTTTTTGTTCTTTCTCGGTTGGCTTCTCCACGAAGTTCGCGCCCAATACCTCCAGTTTCACGGCCGCGAACTTGGGTTCTCGGGCCGCGATCTTCACCTCTGTTTCGCTGTATGTTTTCTCGGCCGAGATCTTCCCCTTCAGGTTGTGATCATCAGCTTCCTGTCCATTTTGATACACTTGTGCCCTTTTTCGTACCTAATTCACATATATCGTCTAAAGCACCCTAAAACCATGATGTAATCAAATAGGAACGAAATAAGAATGCAATCGATGATATTCTTCTGATTATGCACATGAATTAATTAGCACGAAACAAACCTAGAATGCTTACTCTCGCCACCAGTCCACCACAACCCAAACTCTTCCCATATCAAAGTGGATGTCATTTTGAATAGTACAATTAATCTTATTTATCTTTAAAAAAAATTACGACTTAAAACAAAGAGATATAACTCGTTAAAATTAATCCGCAAAAATTAGTTGATTTGCATAAATAGTATGTATAGAATTATATATGATTATTGATAAGTAACTTATGGTTCCTACATGTGGATTAAAACACCTGTTTAAGAAAGCATTGTAGTAGTTGAATAGGGTAAGGTGGTGTTGGTGTGACTGACCAACTACCTTCCCAATACAAGTTACAAAGCCTCTTGAGATTTGATTAATTAAACCCTCACAG